AATGTGGTTAAAACACTACAAAATAATGTGCTCTGCATACAAATGAAATGGTCAGAAACAAATCAGCACAATCCATCGCAGATCTAAATATTGAAGATCAATCTTGTAAAGTAGACATCAACCAGACTTTTTTCTTAATGCTAATGTTCACGGCTAATGTACTTATTACAAATATTAAATAGCAAAATTTCATTTTCGATCCCTAATGTTTCCTCATCATGATTCCCAGCAATAGCCGAACAATAACTGTAAAAATCAATCATTTTGAAATTTCATTTGGTTCTTTTCTGCCAGCTGAGAATTCGATTTCATTAAAACTAAAGCAGTTGAATCAACGTTTCTCAAATTTTCGTTCAGTATCTTCGCATTCTCTGAAACTGACTACTTCTTTCCAGCTGTAGACGTCACTACAGACGCTCTCAATCGATATTCATCCACAGTGGTTATCCATTCATTGAGCAAAATAAAAGAACTGAAATGGCTGTTATGCTCTAGTCATGAGTTGAATTGTTTGCCATCAACCTCACAAATTGCCTTTAAGGATAGCACACAACCCAATCAAACGCAAAATCCGTGTTCATTTGCTATCGCTATTAGTCGTCCCACTAACCCGTTGATCTACCTCTCACACCAACTGCGATGACAAAGATTTGACTCGGTGTGTTTATCGTATATCATGATTATATTTCGATCGTTAAACTGAGTTATACCCACACTTAAAATGTTGCAATGAATATTCTAATGCATCAGGTGCAAATAAAAGTCTGAAAAGGGCAACGTTAAGCACCTCGATAAGGCCCATCACCCGAATGTATTATGGGTGGTTTAAGCACTGGGTGTGCTGCAATCGATCGAGCCTTCTTTTTATTCACTGGCGATTCAACTTTCGGTTGTGTTCCTTTTGCTGCTGCTTTCGCACTTTTGCTCTTTTTCGAGTGATCTCTGGAAATCACTTCATTGATTCAATCTTATGAAACTGTATCGTTGATCAACGTGAGCACGAAATTGAGCTCTCTCATCCATGGTCAGCGATTGATGCCGACCTTGTGGTAGACAGAGGCTCAAATCTGAAACTGGTAGTCAGATCCTGCGAATTAACAAAAACAGCTTCACATTGGTGTCACCTTGTTGCGAACCCCGCGAATCAAACTCACTGCAAGAAAGCAGTCAAACTCACTTCTAAAGCAAACACACTTCAATTCTAAACCTCTAACGCTCATCAGAAACTCACAAATTCATAGATTCATCAAACTTGCTGCACAATAACTTCGAAATTTCCAGTCAAACCCGCTGCACAATTTAATTGATATCATAACTTTCATCGCCACATCGTCATAACTTTAACACACACGACATACCTCTACGGCTGCCAAACGTCATTTTTTGCCTGTCAGGACAACATAAACACCTCCAGTGCAAATTGCTAGGTGTAATTACTACCTCCGCCTTTGAGTCAGACACTTTACAATCTAGTAGCAACTTCATTTTCTTCGGATCGAACGTGTTTGTGGGTTTCTGATCATTGGGAATTTGGAATTGGATTGTGTAGCGGCGGGTTCGATTGGAATTCTTGCAGCGAGTTTAATTTGCGGAGTTCGCGACACAACTCACTGTTTTAGTCTTATGTTTTGGAAGCACGAAATAACTTCAGCATAAAACAATCACACTGCAGCTCATTGGCACTGGATTTCTTCCAATGAATATAGCCATGCAAAGTTTCCTTCATTACTTCGTGAACGCATTCCAAGATTCGTTCAGCAGCACAATAAATGAAATCATAAGATTAAAAAAAAATCATGAAAACATAAGATTCTTTCCGNAAAACAGTTGTTTAATGCTGTTTATGTTCATTGATACCCAAAACCAAATTGTTACTTTCTTTCTTGCGGTAGCTTCTAATTTTTTTTTGTTGTTTGAATTACTTCATCAAAAAAAAGTCAAGATGCAACGACGAAGCTATGTGGTGGATGTTGCAAACGTTCACTGAAAATGAATAGGTGTGATAGTGAAATAGTGACACGTTGATCAGTTGCTCTTGTCAATAAAATCACGATGAGTCCATTTTTTTCCTTGAAACGTGAAATTACTTCACGCACAAATCAATCAACAATCAATCATTCTCCGTCAGATGGTCTCAGCGAACATCAGACTAACCCAATTTTCAATGAGCAAACGCCATGACAACAGGTTCTTTTTTTTTCCATAAGAAAATTCCTTTATCCATTGCAATGCTTCAGTCTGAGCGGCAACCCGAATTGCGTTGCAATGTGAATTAATCACTTCAATCTCTTTATTTCAAGCACAAAAATTGATGTTTGATTGTAAGGTTGTGGAGGAAAAAACTCAATTAAACAACTGCCACGAAACAACAAATTTGTTGATAAGCACATTAGTGCGATAACCTTTGTGATAACTTTGTAGATCTGACTGTTGTCGTAGTTTTCTGGGTGGTTGTTATTGGATGGTGGGATGTGGTAGGGACTGATGACCTGGACGTTGTTGAGTCGTTTAACATTTTACTTCGATTCATGCGTTGAGCACGGAATGGCATTCTGGTCGTAAGTTTTCGAGTTGTTGATACCGGCTTCACAGTGTGCACTCTCTTTGTGGTTGGTGTTTTTTTCATCGTACTTGGTTTTAATGTTGTTAATTTCTTAGATGCCTGTTTAAATGGTCTGTGTGTAGTGCGTGGTGTAGTTGTTCGGAAGGTGGTTGTATGTGGAGTTGTGACGCTGGCGGTACGTCGACTGAAATTTAGTAACGTCTAAAGAACTCGTAGTTTTGTTGAGAACTCCTAGTTCAACACAGCAAAAAAGAGCGAACAGCTCGAAAATAGTAATGAAAAAAGTTTTGGAGAATGTCACATGAGCATTCGCTTAGTTGTCGCTGAAAACATCACGAAAAGAGATGCTCTCAAAATCGTAAACTTGATCAGAATCGTAATATGGATCAGCCTAGAAATAAAGTATTCACTAGCAAAAAACTACTCTCTAGTTGTCAATTTTTTTTTTACACTCATAAGACAAACATTTCATACATTCGATGAACCACAAATAATCGCACTTGTTTTCGTGGAAAAACTCTCTCCTCATCAATCATTAATATTTATGACCACTTCATTCAGACTGCAAATTGCGTGCGATCGAAAACTTACTCGACATATCTGGTCGGAAGTTCATTACTTTTCTAGTCGGCACACCCAAAATTTTAAAAAAGTAATTAGTTGCTGCGTAAAGAAATCACACCCAAAATAAAGAAATTGAGCGCACAATTTGCATTTTTTAAAGTACCGTTTCGGAATGTAATCTCTTCGCATAAACTCTACAGAAGCGTTAATGTTTATCAGTGGAAACTGGTTTATATTCCAGATGAAAATCAAAAAATAATCACAACACGTTGCGAATGGAGTGCTTATTCTATGCATTTTACTACTTGATGGATTGCTTTTACTGAACATCCTCGATCACCTAATGTTGCGTCTTGTTGCGAGGCACGCAGATGATAACGTAATATTTAAATTCACAAAATCGTCGAACAATTTCTCGTTTAATTCTATCCTTAACAAAACGAGTAAACGGTGATGAAAAACAGACCTGTTGGCTTTTTGATGGAGTGCTTTCGGATCAGTTGAACGTGACTTTGATGACAGAGGCCTTACTTGAGGCTTTGGTCTTGATGTTCTGTAATAGGCTGGTGTCCATGCATCGTAATTCTCATATTTACGATGCCTTGGCGGTGGAGTGGACCACGTTGATAATCTTCTCGTCACTATTGGAACCTTTAATTGCATCAACTTGACACAAGAATATAATTTTAACAACCGAACGATATTGGAACTTCNNNNGTGCGTTGGCATTCTAATAGATCGAAAATTGTTGGCTAGAGGAAAACCAAACCCGCGCATATCCAATATCCTTTCCATTTTTGTGAAGAACGAATCCCGGTAAATGCGGTACGAGTTCATCATAAACGTCATAAATGTCAGCTGGTTTTCTCACATCATCGTCGAAATTATAATCGAATGATAATGGATTGCTGAACACTGTCTCATCCATTATCGATTCTTCTGTAATATTGCGAAAACAAATGCATAAAATACCATCTTCATTGTGCAGCAAACTCTGACGGATAATCCATTGAATGCAATCATTTCAGTTCCACTGACATTGAAATTTGTGGCGCTGTACGTGCGAAAGGTGATAAAAGATTTGAAGTGTTCATGAACAGAATGAATCATTCACAAAAAGGTGCAGTGAACGAGTTGCCTACTTACTGCTTGTGAGTGCTTTACCATGGCATAAATCCGTGAGAATGACCGCTACTATCCACGGGGAATACATCACTGAAACAAGTAACATATGCAGCTTATTTCAGCAATTTTTTTTTNAACAATGATACGTCAACATACTTGCACCAGCAAATAATCCTCTCAGTGCTGCTATTATCAAACTAGAAATCACAATAATTTATATTGCAGGAGGTTTGTTGATATTTCTGTTAATGATAACACGCAATAGGACAAATTATTTCATTCCACCTAAACCGGTTTATTTGCTTCATCGGAACCGTTCTTTGATATATTTGCAAGGGCTGAAGCATTTATTATACAGAGAACTGCTCTCAGCTATACAATGAATTGTTACATCTTCGACCATTAGTGATAAACAGATTCACGTGGGCGAATCTGGCCATTCAAATGGACTGAAATAAATCTCAGCTAAGACAAACACAGACACTGTAATAAAAACCGTACTTTACGTGTTTTACCTTCGGAACCGTCCTGTTCTTTACTTCTTTTGTTTGTTTTTTTTAAATTTTTATCTCAGTTATTGGACAGTCAATAGCTGTTTTAATAATATGCTCATGGATAGACAAGATGTAAACACCACTACGCTCAGTGGAGGATAGCAGCAACAGTGTTCAATGTGCATTCCACATCCTAAAATTTCTTTGTGATCAAATTTTTCATTTCCAAACAGAACAGTTTATTTGATAACACTGGACTTAACATTAAAACAATCTTGATGAGTTGATTATGACTTCAGGTACGGCTATCAGCACGTAGCGTTTGACGAATTACGCATATTTGATATTCACAAACATTCCGCAGCACCCAACACAAACCAGTGACGAGTTTGCGTCAGCAGGTTTCAATCAAAGTCGAATAATGAATCAACTAAATCGAATTCACATTCATGAACAGAGTTGCTTGTTCAGCTTTCTGGACAGTATCAATTGTGTTAGTAATCACAGGTTAGCCAATTTTGATGAGTAATCAATTCAAATATCCGTTGTAAAAATGGAGTCTGTGATATTAAACAGTTTTCTTCAAATGTTGTGAAACGTAGATTAGATTAGAGAATGAGTGAATTGTTCATTGATTACGCACAGTGATTCATAACCCAATTATTTTCGCATAAGAATCGTTTTCTGTTTGGGTTATTCGATCCTCTTTTTGATGTGTCTTTATCATTTCGGTTCGACGGACAAGCACAAGTTTCAACTTGAAATGAAACTCAACTGAACGAATTCTAAGCGAGAATTCACATCTATGAACAAGAGATGTTTGCAATCGGCTGCACAACAAAAGTGTGAATGAAAAACACAGAGCTTTCATTCATCATCACTTGACCACAAACGTTGCATTGAGTTCAATTGCAATTATCGCAAACACAATAAACAACTCAGATTTCATTGGCAAATACAACTAATTTTTGAATTGTTGAGATTTGGTATCACGTTCAAAGATAACCTGGAATTGTTTTGGTGATGGCGTGAATCAATTGAGGTTTTGTGATAGGAACTTAGTCCGTCGACAGAACAGTTTCGCGCAATAGTAAAATATGCCTACATGAAGCTGTATCTTAGTAAACAATATGCAAGAATGAACGTGAAGTGACACAGGAAGGATGAATCCGCGATCATGGAAAGTGCTGTGTAGAAGTGTAGTGATGATAGTGAGACAGTAAAAGGTGATATCAATTGATATGTCTGTGATTAGAGCAANATCGTTTGATACAATGGAACGTCGAGAGTGATTGACTGGTGCAAGTGCGTTGTCAAGGCCGCTTTGCGACTATCATTACTGACGATACGCACCTTCAATGTTTCAAAAATGAATATTTGCGGTCATTTCTCAATGTTCCACATTCACAGGTTTGATGCATTCTACAACTGATGAAAAGTACAATATAAGCGATGAAATTCTCATCTTCCTGCAACTAGATTATTGAATTTAGGCACTTAAAAATTTTATCGAATCGGTTCTGATTGTCAAGTTGATTCGCACATACTGATACAAATCGGAAACATTTTCCCCGATAATACAGGTTAAAGTATGAGATAAGCGTTCCTTGACTTCAACAGTTCGATTAAAAAAAATAATGCATTGTAAACGATGACTGTAAAAGAAGGAAAACATCTGTTACGATATGAGATAACATCAACGAAGCACTTCATTCAAATCTTGAATTCATTTTTTGATCAACAAACGATTTCTCCTGATTGCAAAAATTTTCACTTCCAAATTAAAACGGGATGGGATGCATGTTTGAATTGCTGTTCAAATACCTTTGTTTGACACAGAGAATGATCGCATTCACTGATTATGTCAGTTAACATTAATTTCAATCAAACGTAGAATGCCTGTTTTATTTGGGATTCTTCAGAGGGAAGAAATTTGATATTTAGCGATAAATGTGAGAATACGACACTTCCACAATCATATCAATATACCATGGGAGTTCTTCCAATAAGTACTAAGTTTTTTCATTCACTGAATTATTGAATCATTTGAAAAAAAGCTGCATAATGTTTTAGGATAACGAGAAGATTCGTTAAAAAATGAAATACAACGTTTGCTCAACTACTGTTTACAACTAGTCAATAGATTAGATCAATGAAATTGGCGTTGTTTATGAAATTGATTTGATTGATCAAAACTGTTTACTCCTTAATTAATCGAAGAATGTTTGCTTCCTTGCCAGTATGTCGGTTTCATTCATCCCACTATAATATTTAATTATAATAGATCAAACTATGTCAGGCCGTCGAAACGCAAAAAAGACCACTGCTGTATTGCGGCAATGTCAAAAATTATTTTCGGATGGAATCACACAACACAACGAAGTAGAACCTCGGAATTAAGGAGATGATAGAAGCAAAAGCAGTTTACATTCTCGATGTCTGGGGAATGAAGCAAATTAAGCGCATGGAATGGAGAACTAGAGCAAAACGCTCACGAGTCTGTACAAAGCGAATGTCAATTCAACGAAGAAATGGAAAACTGAAAGCCGTAAACAATTCTAAAGACAAACTCAGGCAACAAATCTGGCGAAGCACAGAGCACAATTTATCAAATTGGATGAAATGACGAGCAGCACTGCTGCCATGAAGGAAAACGATGATGGTATCGAGGCATGTTCTCCTGTCTTCACGCAGGATCAAATGTCAGTAGAAACTTTAATCACGCGGTATTGGAGAGTTCAGCAAATCCAAGAATTCCGCGAAAAAATGAAAAAGCGATTCGATTTCATACTAAAATACGTTCAAATCATTCACTCCAAGGGATTACGATGAACATCAAAACGCATGGAAGTGAGCGATAATTGTCGTCAGTATACTTTTACGCCTCAATTTCTTTCTTGAACAAAGAATGTTCATTAATAAAAAGTAAGCAAAGAGAATGAATGGGTCAATCAAAATTTATTCTACTTTATTGTTTGCTTCAGCAACTTATGTCATTTTGACCAACCAGTTAGATCAGTGGTTCCCAACCTTATTTGCTCCGTAGACCCCGTAGAAAATTTTAAGATGCATCCGGACCCCTTAACGGAAATTTCAAGACGTCCTCAGACCCTCTAAAGATAAAGACGGGGAGTAGAAGACGAGTTCGCAGCAACCCGAGGTGCCATTATGCACAGTATTAGCAGACATGATGAGGCAGGCGCTGTTGATGCGTTTGGTTGTTTGCCTGCTTGCCCACTACAGTGGGTATCTGTAGTATAGATAAGTGCATAACATCGGAGTGCGTTCAATCCTTTTCAAAAATATATACGTTAAAGTTCATCCTTGTCTACTTCAGACTTTTGTACGTGCTGAGCTCTGTCCTCGTCCACTTCAATGGATAAAAATAAAACCTAATTCCGACCCCCTTTCGCATTTCTCATCGCACCCACTCTCCAATCCCCTCTCACCCCACCCTCTCTCGAACCCCCATGGGGTCCATGGATCCTCGGTTGGGAAATTCTGAGTTAGATGAACGGATTAATTGCGACAATGTTGCACGATAAGGTGGATGAGACTTGAAACAATTCCGTATTCATTGGTAACGTTACATGACCGGCCAAGTGAATCGCTTCAGCGAACACATTACCAACCGCATTGGTACTTCAGAATGCCCTCATGCAAAACAAGTGGCTAAATACAAAAAGCAAATTGCATCATTGTAATGGCACTTGAAACAGGAGCAATTAATCGTTAAGGATGAAGGGATTTCTCAACGAACCTCACAAAGCAACCTCACGGTGAGGATACACGCATACTAGAATGCATACGCAGTTGCTGGACGACGTTCGTTTTGGAACAGCTTTGTCACAAACGCATACANACAAATGATGAATTCATCACTCCTCCCACATTCACCTTCGATGATTTGTTGGATACAGACAAAGGCATTTGTTCAACGCCATGTACAGAATCAGTCTCAACATTTCAATGCTTAAATGGAATGTAATTGCTTTTTGAAAAGTACCCGTTTCTTGCAAATTTCTGTGAAAATCAAGGTTGCTCTTCGTAGAATCCCAACGCAGCCGTGTAAATGATTTGTGGTGGTTTAGAGGTGAATTAGTTGGTGCAAGTTAGCAAGTTTGACGTTGTTGAATAAACCAATGCATTTAATGAACCTTATTGTTAGTTTCGAAATCAATCTGTCATCAAGTATCACTAGTTTGCGGTAAATTATAGCAAATGTCAATCCAAAAACATTTCTGATTGATCGCCAAGTTTACACTCCTGAATGTAAAACAATTAAGAATACTAGTTTATTCATCATCCGCATTCTAACTGTAATAAATCTTCATTTAACATTTCTAATTTGTATCAGCAATTTTGAATTATGATTACGTTCAACATAATTGTATGAAATTGCATATCGTTTCCAAATCAAAGAGAAGTATTTCGCAATGTGGGCACATGTTGCCTATCACTTGGTGAGAATGGCATCTGTGGGAGAGGAAGAGGGGGGGAGAGGGGGGGGGTGGGAAAGGGAACACTGCCTGGAAAGTGGTGATTGAATATTGCGGAACCTGGAATGAGATCGGAATAATCTAGCCGCGATCTAATNGGCTGAGAACCATTG